ATTGTCTCATGGTTCTGAAGACTAGAAATCTGAGATCAAGGTGTCACCAGGGCCCATGCTCCCTCTGAAGGTACTAGGGAAGGATTCGTTCCAGACTTCTCTCCTAGTTTCTGGTAGTTCCTTGGCTTGTAGCAACATAAATATAATCTTCACTAGTGTTCTCCCTGTGTGTGTGTGTGTCTGTTTCAGTGTCCAAATTTCCCTTTTTAGAAGGGTATCAGTCATATTGTCTTGGAGACCCACCCTACTCCTGTGTGACTTCATCTTAACTAGTTCCATCTGCGTGACCCTATTTCCAAGTAAGGTTGAATTCGGGGGGTTGGGGCCTTAAACATGAAATCTGGGGGACAGACACAATTCAGCATGTAACAGATGGGTGTGGAGTTTCTTTTGAGAGTGATGAAAATTTTCTCAGAGTTAAAAGAGTGGTGATGGTTGCACAACATTGTGAATATATTAAAAACCACTGAGTTGGAGACTTTGTAATGACAAACTTCATGTTATGTGAATTAAATTTTAATTTAACAATTACAAAAACGCACCTTAAATCCTCTGGTAAGGTCATCTTTTGCAAGCATGGATATGCTGTTATTCACCACTTCTATAAATATAAGCTCCCATGAGGACAGGGATTTTTGTATATTTTTGTACCTCAGTGCCTAGAATACTGTTGGGAACATAATAGATGCTCAAAATGTGTTTGTTGAATGACTAGATAAATGAATGGGAGGTTTTGTACCTTGTCTTAAGTTTGTGCATTTGAGAGATAATATCTTAAATATGTAACCCTTAAAATTAATCTGCTTTCAAACCGATACTTTGTCTTCTCACAGCAGAAATCTGATTATGACCTTAATAGACAGGGGTGACAGGTCTAATTCAGACTAATAACTGCACAGATAGCCTTTTTAATGAAAAATAGGAGAAAAGTAGCAGAACTCATCATCCCTAAAAAATTTCTCCAAGATGGAATTTCTGACTATCTTACGTGTTCCTACTCTAATACTTGTTTTTGGATTCCCACTTTCTCAACTGCTCTCCTGCCTTCCATGTAACCTCTCTGGATGGTTCCCCCATTGGCTGAATCCAACTAGAAGCGAGAAGGCAAGAGAGCCTGGTAGATGTAGAGGCCAGCCTCCTAAGACACAGAGGCAGGATAGAGAAGGTGGTGAGTGGGTCTGTAGAAGCAAAGAGAAATATCCAACTCTGACATAAGGGGATAAAATTTTCTGAATTGAATTGTCAAGATTTGGAACCCTGTGTTAATTGGTGAATTGTGCAAAGTCTTCATGGATTTGGAAATGCCCTTCAGTATTATCCCTAACTGAGGCAAAGGTGCCAGGACTTGAACTCCATATCTACCAGTTACTGGATACGGACTGCCCTTGGAGATGGGGCATAACTTTGGTCAGTAACTTTCTTCATCCTAGGGCAATGCCTGGACAGAGATTCGCATGAGTTATTAGCTGCCAAACCTCTAAGCAGCCGAGAGAACGAGTTACTTCGTTCTCAAGGGGGAGACATCTAAGAGGCACACTGCTGCGTATACTGTGTTTTATTACGTTTCTTATCAAGGCTGTATGATACTTTCAAAACAGAGGGAATGGATGACGGTAGGAAGTAATAAAACTTGAACTGGAGTGAGGGCCAAGGGAATGATGGAAAAGGGAAGGCAAGAAGAGTCAAAGACTAAAGAACAAATGACGGGTTCTGCCGGGGTCCAGCCTCGGCAGGTCCAGAGGTCCCCAAAGGATGGATGGTGTTGGCAAAAGGAATGAGAGAGCCGCTCGACAGGTTCAGCAATCGGGCATCTCTAGTTTATTTGATCGGTACGCTTCCTATGTAGGTAGTGTCTAGGGTTACATCAGTTCAGAAGGTTTTTTACAGTGAGTAATGGAATAAAAGGGAACAAACAGATTAGTAATAAGTAGTTATATATAGAGGAAGGGTAGCACTAATCAATTGTTTTTAACCTTTAGTAGTACAATAGGAAATAATTTATATCTAAGGCACACTACATTCTGATGTGGCCATAAAATGGGTAAGGACTCAGTGGTCTGATTACAAGATACGAGTAAGTCCTTGGGGTCCTGAGAAGGCAGAAACATGATGTTTTTCTTTGAGGTTTTCTAGTCTTTGTTGTGTGCAGTCCGGAGACTCCACGTCTCTGGACGTGGGAAGATAGGGAGCCCCCTATCTCCAGTCCGGAGATAACTGATGATTTTTTCCAGGCTTGTTCATGCGGAGCCATTGCCCTGCAGTTTTTAATGCCCCCAAGTCTCTAGCCCAGGACAGTGGGTCAGAAGTATCTAGTCTAAGGGAGAGATATCATCAGGTCAGCAGAGATGGCAGGAGCTGTGCAAACCATGCCGTAACCCTGAGAGGCTTGGCCATCTATCAGGGCCTCAGTGGCCCCCAACAGGGTTCTTTAGATTTTCAGTGATCAATGAGATCTTTCCCTTACAGTAACCTCCTATGAGTGAAAACGGTGTGTTCCTATCCTTCACTGGAGTACATGGGCTCTGTTGTGAGTCTGGATAAACATATAAGAAGAAAATCCTGTGAAAAGAACTTGAAGGAGAGTTTTCTCCTAAGGCAAGTTTTGTTTTATTTTGTTTTGTTGTGTTCTCGTCAATCCCTGTCATATCATTGTCAAATGCCTCCTTCATCTAACACAAGTCAAGCCCTGGTCAAAAGGATGAGTTCCTAAAAAAAAAAAAAAAAAAAAAAAAGATGAATTCCTAGTTTGCTAAGAACTTTTATCATAAATGGATGTTGAGTGTTTTCAAATTTGTTTTGCATCAATTGATCGTATCAAGTCATTTTTTTAAGAATGTTAATAGGACACATTACATTGCCAGATTTCTCCAAATATCAAACCTTCCTTGCATTCCTGGAATAAGACATTTGTTTATATATTATTGGATTCAGTTTGCTAATATTTAGTTGTGGGTTTCTGCATCCCTTGTTCATGAGAGATACTGGTCTGTACTTTTCTTTCTTTTTAAAGATTTTTTTAAAGATTTTATTTGAGAGAGTGAGCACAAGTGTAAATGAGGGGAGAGGCAGAGGGGGAAGAAGAGGGAAAGAGAGAATCTTGAGCAGACTACCAGCTGAGTGCAGAGCCTGATGTGGGGCTCAATTTCACAACCCTGAGATCATGACCCGAGCCAAAATCAAGAGTCAGGCACTTAACTGACTGAGCCACCCAGGTGCCCCTGAAGATTTTATTTTTAAGTAATCTCTGTACCTGATATGGGGCACAAACTTACAACTGCAAGATCAAGAGTCACCAGCCAGGCACCCCTGTACTTTATTTATAATTAATTCAATTGCCTGGGTTGTAGCACTCACATCTTATATTTCCTTTCTAGGAGTTCCCAACATCCTTGCAGTGTTATCTCAAAGCAACTTCACGTCTCTTGCCCAGTTCCAAAGCTGTTAGACCAACAAAATATACCTGTCTCTAGATTTCCATGACAATTAGCCTTGTGAAAAGGGAAAGCTAATTAAATGCTTCACTCAAAATGAATTTTCTCAAAACCAATACATAAAAAGTAGGAAATACTTTCCACTAGATTTTTTAAAATTTTTATTTGACAGACAGAGATCACAAGTAGGCAAAGAGGCAGGCAGAGAGAGAGGAGGAAGCAGGCTCCCTGTTGAGCAGAGAGCCCAATGTGGGGCTCGATCCCAGGACCCTGGGATCATGACCTGAGCCGAAGGCAGAGGGTGAACCCACTGAGCCACCCAGGCGCCCCTCAACTAGATTTATAAAAGATCTATCTGACCCATATTCCCTTTTCTCCCTATCACGTGTGTATAATCAGTAAACAAAGCATTTATAAGGACCATATTAACAATGCTTATTCATGACACTGACAATATCTAGCCCAACTACCAACCTCACTGGTATACAGGCAAGGATTGTATTCATTTTCTTCTTCCATCAGTCTCTGTATTTCTCAGATCTGAGGGGTATTCTTCCATCGTGGTGATCTGGTCCTGTCTCAGTCAGACTGCAGTGAGTTCCTTGTCTTCCTGAAAGTCATCGTGGCACAGTGTTTAAAAACATGTGTTCTGGGGGTGCCTGGGTGGCTCAGTTGGTTAAGCGGCTGCCTTCAGCTCGGGTCGTGATTCCAGGGTCCTGGGATCGAGCCCCGCATCGGGCTCCCTGATCAGCAGAGAGCCTGCTTCTCTCTCTCCCCCTCTCCCTGCCGCTCTGCTTACTTGTGCTCTCTCTCTAGCTCTCTGTCAAATAAACAAAATATTAAAAAAAAAAAAAAAAGACATGTGCTCTGGAGACGAACTGCCTGAGTTCGAAGCCTGCCTCTGCTACTTACTAGCTGTGTGGTCTTAGGCAAGTTAATTAAACTATCTGGGCTTCAGCTTTCTCATTTGTACTCTTATAGGAATAATAAGTATACCTACTTAGCGCTACTGAGGGGACTAACTGGAACGAATACCAAGAAAGTATTTAGAACAGTGCCTTATCTGTATTTAGATATTTATCTAAATAAATCAGTGCCTATTTGTATTCATGTACAGAATAAGCACCATATAAATGTTAGCTATTATTGTCAGTATTTCAAAGTGCATTTGTCTATGATGTTCACTGACATTTTCCAGTTCTGGTTTCTCTTCATAGTAAACTTTTCTTCTGCCTTCCCAGTCCCCTGCCAAAAACAAAATTGTTGGGACAGGCAGTATCATCTTTCAGTCTTTTGACTCCCACGTGGCCATGTAAGGATGGGTCTTGGGCCTGGACTACTGCCTTACCAAGAGATGAAGAGCCCATGCAGCCTGTGCTCATGTGACTATCTTTCCCTGTTGCAAGTTCAATGTATGTGCCTTTGTTCTGCTTAAGTGTGTATGTCATATGACACCTGGCCAACCCCACTGCTGGCCAACGAGGGGAAGGGACAGGGTTCTTCTACTGTGGCAGAAGAAGGGTGTGCCTAGGCAAATTGCCCTGGTTCAGCCGTGGAGATATGGCCAAGATTTGGGTGGGACCAGCACCCGCTATTGAAGATGATCTTACTCTGTCTTTTATCTATGGAAATAACATGCTGTTCCATCCAGTGGTTGACTGCATTGTGATTTCTTTTCCTTGGTGACTCCAGTACCAAGATGTGGTGGGCAGAAGTATTGGATTCTCTCCTGAGGTGCTAACTGGTGCACAGTGTTCTGCTCGACAAAAGCAAAGCAAAACAAAACAAAGCAGCCCTCTCAGGAAGTTCATTTTCAAGAAAGACAGGTAGGCCTTGGAGACTCTGGTGTCATCAACTCCAGGCTTTAGTTCTAGCCCATGCCAACAGGAATTAAGTCACCCTGTCTGTCACTGACTCTCCTTAAAGGTACTCTCTGGTGTGGGAAAACCTAAAGAGCAAAGGTAGGAATACATGTCTCTGGGTCTGAACAAATGTTAACTCACAAAACAAGCAAAAATTCATACACCCATGTCCTTTTTGGAAATGTTTCTTTGGAAATGAGGATTTTCTGCAGAGTTATTGAGAGTTTTCTGGCTGGTATCTTGAATCCAGCCAGAGTCCTTGTAGGATTGACCCTCACAACTGCAGTAGGAGAGGAATTCTGTTATATTTTCTTGGTGGTTAGCTCAGGGTATTGAATTAATATTTATTGAGTGAGCATACACCTCTACTACACTACTGGGCCAGGTACTAGGACAGACATTAAATGGGGGGCGCCTGGGTGGCTCAGTAGGTTAAGCCTCTGCCTTCAGCTCAGGTCATGATCCCCGGGTCCTGGGATCGAGCCCTGCATTGGGCTCTCTGCTCAGCGGGGAGCCTGCTTCCCCCTCTCTCTCTGCCTGCTGCTCTGCCTACTTGTGATCTCTGTCTGTCAAATAAATAAATAAAATCTTAAAAAAAAAAAAAAACAGACCATGGGCTGTTAAGCATAAGACAACACTCTTGGCACAGAGAGGCTTTCAGTAGAGCCGAGGGACTGGAACCTGTCTAATTTCAACAATGCTACATAAGCAGGAGGATAATAAATGCATTTCGGGGACTTTAGAAGAACTAGAGAGAATTTCCAAATGACAATGGAAAAGGCTTCCTAGAGGAAGTGGCATTTGAGCGGGTCATTGAAGAGTGGCCAAGGTTTAGCATTCAGAGATGGAAACAAAGGTAAGAGGAGAGAAAGATACTGCAGGCAAAGGAAATAGCTTAACCAAAGTACAGAGACAGAAAATGAATAAAGGGCATATGTGTAGGAAACACTGAATTCGTATCAAAGGAATGGGTATTAAAGGGATAGGATGGAAGATGCCTTTGACCAGCCAGATTTGACAGTACTTAAATGCTGGACTAACGTGGATTTTGGTTTTAAGATATTGGCTACAGGGTTGTCTGGGTGGCTCGGTTGGTAGAGTGTCTGCTGCTTTCTCGAGTCGTGATCCCAGGATCCTGGGATCGAGTCCCACATCGGGTTCCTTGCTCAGGAGGGAGCCTGCTTCTCCTTCTGCCTGCTCTGCCTGCTACTCCCCCTGCTCATGCGCTTTCTCTCACACACACATAAATAAATAGATAAAATCTTTTTTAAAATATTGGCTACAACCAATGGATTAAGAAATGGCAGGCCAGGTTGAGTGTTGCACTTTAAAAAGTTAATAAGCTGGGGCGCCTGGGTGGCTCAGTGGGTTAAGCCGCTGCCTTCGGCTCAGGTCATGATCTCAGGGTCCTGGGATCGAGCCCCACATCGGGCTCTCTGCTCAGCAGGGAGCCTGCTTCCCTCTCTCTGTCTCTGCCTGCCTCTCTGTCTGCTTGTGATCTCTCTCTGTCAAATAAATAAATAAAATCTTTAAAAAAAAAAGTTAATAAGCTGACAAGGGATTCATTTTAGACCTAAAGACATCTGCAGTTTGAAAGTGAGGGGATGGAGAACCATCTGTCATGCTAATGGACATCAGAACAAAGCTAGAATAGCCACACTTAAATCAGACAAACTAGATTTTAAAACAAAGACTATAACAAGAGATGAAGAAGGGCACTATATCATAATTAAGGGGTTTATCTATCAAGATGATGTAACAATTATGAATATGCCCCCAACTTGGGAGCACCCAGTTATATAAATCAATTAATAATAAACATAGGGGTGCCTGGGTGGCTCAGTGGGTTAAAGCCTCTGCCTTCAGCTCGGGTCATGATCCCAGGGTCCTGGGATTGAGCCCCATATCGGGCTCTCTGCTCAGCAGGGAGCCTGCCTCCCCCTCTGTCTGTGCCTGCCTCTCTGCCTACTTGTGATTTCTGTCAAATAAATAAAATCTTTAAAAATAATAATAAACATAAACTCATTGATAATAATATAGTAACAGTAGACTTTAACACCCAATTACAGCAATGGACAGGTCCTCTATGCAGAAAATCAACAAGGAAAGAAGGGTTTTGAATGGCACACTGGACCAGAAGGACTTAAAAGATAATGTCAGAGGAGCCTGCATGCTGTTTTCCAGAGTGGCTGCACCAGTTTGCATTCCCACCAACAATATAAGAAGGTTCATAGGCAGCCTATGAAATGGAAGAAGATATTTGCAAAGGACATATCTGATAAAGAGTTAATATCCAAAATCTATAAAGAACTTACCAAACTCAACACCCAAAAAACAAATAGTCCAGTTAAGAAATGGACAGAAGACATGAATAGACACTTTTCCAAAGAAGACATCCAGATGGCCAACAAACACTTGAAAAGATGCTCAACATCACTCATCATCAGGGAAATATGAATCAAAACCACAATGAGACACCACCTCACACCTGTGAGAATGGCTAAAATTGACCACACAAGAGGATGCTAAGAAAGCAGAATGCAAACTGGTGCAGCCACTCTGGAAAACAGCATGGAGTTTCCCCAAAAAGTTGAAAATAGAGCTACCCTACAATCTAGCAATTGCACTACTAGGTATTTACCCAAAGGATACAATAATACAGATCTGAAGAGGCACATGCACCCCAATGTTTATAGCAGCATTATCAACAATAGCCAAACTATGGAGAGAGCCCAAATGTCCTTTGATGAATGGATAAAGGAGATGTGGTATATATTTACAATGGAATATTACCCAGCCACCAGAAAAAATGAAATCTTGCCATTTGCAATGATGTGGATATAGCTAGAGTGTATTATGCTAAGTGAAATATGTCAGAGCAAGATGAATACCATATGATCTCACTCATGTGGAATTTAAGAAAGAAAACATGAATATATGAGAAGGTGGAAAGAAAAAAAGGAGAGGGAAACAAGCCATAAGAGACTCTTAATGATAGAGAATAAACTGAGGGTTGATGGGGGAGGTAGGTATGGGATGAGCTAGATGGGTGATGGGCACTTGTTGTGATGAGCACTGGGTGTTTTATGTAAGTGATGAATCACTGAATTGTATTCCAGAAACCAATACTGCACTGTATGTTAACTAAAATTTAAATTAAAAAGAAAAGAAAAAATCAGCTGACATGTAGACCAATGGAATAAAGAATCCAGAAATAACCATTTACATTTATGGTTAGTTGATTATCAACAAAGTTTCCAAGACAAGCCAAAGGGGAAAGGAAACTATTCTGAACAAATGGTGCTGGGAAAACTTGTTATCCACATGTGAAAGAATGAAATTGGGTTTGTATCTTATACTATAAACAAAACTCAAAATGATCAAAGCTGAAACATAAAACATAAAATCTTAGAAGAAAACACAATGGGAAAGCTTCATGACATTGAATTTGTCAATGATTTTTGGATATGATGTCAAAAGCACAGGCAGCAAGAAAAATTAATTAGACTACAGCAAATTTTTAAAAAGCTTTTGGGCATCAAAGGACACTCTTTTTTAAAAATTTTTTATTTTTTAATTAACATATAATGTATTATTAGCCCCAAGGGTACAGGTCTGTGTATTACCAGGTTTACACACTTCCCAACACTCACCATAGCACATACCTTCCCCAATGTCCATAACCCAGCCACCCTCTCCCTACCCCCCTCCCCTCGGCAACCCTGAGTTCGTTTTGTGAGATTAAGAGTCTCTTATGGTTTGTCTCCCTCCTCATCCCATCTTGTTTCATTTATTCTTTTCCTACCCCCAAACCCCCCACGTTGCCTCTCAACTTCCTCAAATCAGGGAGATCACATGATAATTGTCTTTCTCTAACTGACTTATTTTGCTTAGCATAATACCATCTAGTTCCATCCACATCGTTGCAAATGGCAAGATTTCATCTTTCTTGATGGCTACATTGTATTCCATTATATTTATATACCCCACATCTCCTTTATCCATTCATCTGTTGATGGACATCTAGTCTCTTTCCATAGTTTGGCTATTGTGGACATTGCTGCTATAAACATTTGGGTGCATGTGCCCCTTCAGATCACTACACTTTTATCTTTAGGGTAAATATCCAGTAGTGCAATTGCTGGGTCATAAGGTAGCTCTATTTTCAACTTTTTGAGGAACCTCCATACTGTTTTCCAGAGTGGCCGCACCAGCTTGCATTCCCACCAGCAGTGTAGGAGCATTCCCCTTTCTCCGCATCCTCGCCAGCATCTGTCATTTCCTGACTTGTTAATTTTAGCCATTCTGACTGGTGTGAGGTGGTATCTCATTGTGGTTTTGATTTGTATCTCCCTGATGCCAAGTGATGTGGAGCACTTTTTCATGTGTCTGTTGGCCATCTGGATGTCTTCTTTGCAGAAATGTCTGTTCATGTCCTCTGCCCATTTCTTGATTGGATTATTTCTTCTTTGGGTGTTGAGTTTGGTAAGTTCTTCATAGATTTTGGATACTAGCCCTTTATCTGGTATGTTGTTTGCAAATATCTTCTCTCATTCTGTCAGTTGTCTTTTGGTTTTGTTAACTGTTTCCTTTGCTGTGCAAAATTCATTTTTGCCCTTGCTTTCAAAGGCCACTATTAACAGAGCAAAAAGACAACCCACAGAATGGAAGAAAATCATTGCAAACAACCCAGTTAATAAATGGACAAGCAGG